TTTTTTTAAAACAGGTGGATTCTATGGCCATTTTTGCTGCTGAACACAAATCTGACAATATTTTTTACCAAAGCTAAAGATTTATATCGGTATCTGCTATTTGTTTGTGAAAAAAGGCGGGAAATGGCTTTTTGGCCATATTTTCACAGTAAAGTACATAAAAATGATGTGTAATATGTCTTTCTATATGTTTTGAGGGTTGCTGAGTTCAAATATGAGCATATTCAAGACATTGGCAATATTGTTAGGGTGACATCTGTAAAAATATGTTATTTAAAACAAACATATACATAAAATACACACTTCGAGCCTAAGATAAATATAAATAATGGCCATTATGTACATACTGAATTCATGGATTACAGTTTGGTATAAAAACAATGCTGAAAATACCTTTATGGATGTGTACCAACAAATTTTATGCTGTATAATTTTCCTTTTCTTCAGAACAGCTAAAACTTTGTCAGGTGACATCAACCTCTTACAACCTCTAAGCTCTTGACCTTGGAATAGTACTTAGTTTCAGTTGTGTAGTTTAAGAGTATCTCACCACAACCATGAAAGCATCAACAAGAAATACACTGAGACCAGAAGGCACTGTAAAGCCCCCTGTCACACTTATTTGGAATCTGAAGTAACCAAGCAGAAAGAGCCATAATGAAGAATTTTCAAAATTCGCGCCACATTCGTTGGGTAATATCAAATTGACCTTAATTCCAGCAAGAATACCTCAGAATGCGCTTCGAACCCAACTGGAATGATTCGTGCCCATTTCGGTTGTATTGTATTAGCTCTCAAATGCAGCTCGAATGTAGTTGGAACACATTAGGAATATCGTTAATGCTAATGCCGTTCACCCTAAATATAGTGAGAATATTTAGAATGCACTTCAAATGCCATACAAGTGTGGTTTCATTGTTGGCTGAATCCCAGCCTGCAATCAAGATGCATTCGAGTTGCATCCCTGCTCATTGGAGGCACAATGTGGAACATTCTGACAAGATTTGAAGCGCCTTGCCATTTCGGTTCTCCCTCGAATGTGATCAAAATGTTTTGAATGCTGTTGGAATTTCGTAAGAATTTTAAGAATGCGCTCATAGTGCAGTTAGAATACACTTGAATGCCATTCGATATTTTTCCACTTGCAATGCACTTCGAAAGTTTTGAGAATGAGCAAAACATTTTAACAGGACACAAGAATGGACCCAAACATTTATAATGCGCTTAGAATTTTAAGATACTTCAAATATCCAGGAACAAACAAGAATTTTTTATTCCGACTACATTCTAGCTCATTCCGCCTATAGTGTGACTAGGTTATAAATGAAGACAATAAGGATATTGTCACCGTTCACCCAAAACTCCTTATTCACTGCCTTACATACATTCTTTTCGGTGATAAATAAATTTTCAGTGTTCAGTGATTACATCAATTAACATTTACACATGTCATCTTACGTGGATGGTATAATTGCAGTTTGGGGGTAAAAACTGAAAAATCAGTTTCTCAAATGTCTGTTTTACCTGAACACCCGTGATCACTATTTCAAAGCGAATTTAATGACACCATTTAGTACCCCAAAACCCTGCCAGCGATTTTTTTAAAACCTTAGTTCAGATTTGATCGTTGATAAAGCAAAATAATACCTTTGTTTTTTTAGAAGATCGGTCATTACGGACTAATGACTCCATAACAAAAGCATTTAAACCATAACGTTGGCATGGGATTGTAGCTCATGCCCTTGTGGTCCATTGGCCAATCCTTGTGATAAAATCTTGTTCAGGGATGAAGTTATGCCCCATATGCATTGCTAACTAATCTCAAAAAAGAAAGCTGTTAAATAGATGATTAAAGCTTTGCGTTGCTTATGCTTATACATTGCAACGAAAAAATATAAACGCCATTATTTCATATTTTCAAGAGTTTTTTCATTGTTTCAAAGCAGCACAAAGACAGATACATTATTGAATAATTAGATGCAGGAAAAAACTCATTTTCGGTATCTGGATGGTAATAAAGAGTAACAATATCCTTAATGCTCTGCTACTGAGTGTTCTACTGTAAATATTCCCATATGTAACTAACATTATGCTATTCTTTATGTCAAAACTTTTCAGTTTCATGTGATCCTTGAACAATACTGACCACATTTGTTGTATTATTGTTTTTCCTAATTTAAAAGCCACAGTTGCATATAAACATTTGTATTTATGTACACAGAAATGGTGATTTTGGGGTGATTTTTACCTCAAATTGACCAAAAAATCCTCTTTTTAACCCAAAATGAAGTGACCCAACCAAAATGATGTATCTATTTATGCTCATTGATCATGAAATCATATGGTTAGACATATAAAAAGCCATGTTTGAACTGATATTTAAAGATTTACATGAGAAATATGTGATTTGAGGGAGCGTTTGGTGGCCATTTTGAAAAATCACCTGATACCAATATCAGATGTAATTTAAAATGAGAATACTTATTAGATTTGTATTCAGCAGCCAAAATGGCCATAGAATCCACTTGTCTGAAATTAAATTTCCCAAAAAAGCTTTCATTTGCCCACCCCT